GAACAAAAACAAAAAGTCATGTTACGAGGAAAAAAACAGAAACAGAAAAAAATGAGAAACACGTGACTTGATACTAAAAAGAATCCAAGAACTATGCACACGTAGGAGAAGAATTTAAGAAGAAAAATAAAATTGAAAAGGAGTAAAAGTAAAAAAATATATATAAATAACCGCCGATAACTGCAAGAAAATGAGAAAAAACAAAGAAAATTGTCGCAAATATCATTAGAAAAAAATCTTATAGGTATATTTACAAAAAAAATAAATAAATAAAGTAAGATCATGAATATTAGAAGTTGTAGATACTTAAAAAACATCGTAAGTGAAAATCCAAACAGATAATGCTAAATTAATTAAAAAGAAAAAACGTGAAATATCAATTAACAGAAGAGCTATAGAAACAATGGAATAAAATGGAGGGAAAACAAAGCCAAAAAATACAAGAAAAAGAAATCACGAAGAACAAAAACAAAAAATTCATGTTAAGGGAAGGAAAGAGAAACAGATAAAATGAAGAAGACGTGAACTTGATACTAAAAAGAATCAAAGAACTATGCAAAAGGAGGAGGAGAAGAATTTAAGAAGAAGAAAAATAAAATTGAAAAGGAGTAAAAATAAAAAAATATATAAATAACCGCCGATAACTGCAAGAAAATGAGAAAAAACAAAGAAAATTGTCGCAAATATCATTAGAAAAAAATCTTATAGGTATATTTGACAAAAAAAAAAGTAAGATCATGAATATTAGAAGTTGTAGATACTTAAAAAACATCGCAAGTGAAAATCCAAATAGATAATGCTAAGTTCATTAAAAAGAAAAACGTGAAATATCAATTAAAAGAAGAGCTATAGAAAAATTAAAATAAAATGAAGGAAAAATAAAACGAAAAAAATACAAGAGACAGGCATCTCGAAGAACAAAAACAAAAAGTCATGTTACGAGGAAAAAAAAACAGAAACAGAAAAAAGGAGAAACACGTGACTTGATACTAAAAAGAATCAAAGAACTATGCAAAAGGAGGAGAAGAATTTAAGAAGAAGGAAAATAAAATTGAAAAGGAGTAAAAATAAAAAAACATATATAAATAACCGCCGATAACTGCAAGAAAATGAGAAAAAACAGAGAAAATTGTCGCAAATATCATTAGAAAAAAATCTTATAGGTATATTTGACAAAAAAAAAAAGTAAGATCATGAATATTAGAAGTTGTAGATACTTAAAAAACATCGCAAGTGAAAATCCAAATAGATAATGCTAAGTTCATTAAAAAGAAAAACGTGAAATATCAATTAAAAGAAGAGCTATAGAAAAATTAAAATAAAATGAAGGAAAAATAAAAGGAAAAAAATACAAGAGAAAGGCATCTCGAAGAACAAAAACAAAAAGTCATGTTACGAGGAAAAAAAACAGAAACAGAAAAAATGAGAAACACATGACTTGATACTAAAAAAAATCAAAGAACTATGCAAAAGGAGGAGGAGAAGAATTTAAGAAGAAGAAAAATAAAATTGAAAAGGAGTACAAATAAAAAAATATATAAATAACCGCCGATAACTGCAAGAAAATGAGAAAAAACAAAGAAAATTGTCGCAAATATCATTAGAAAAAAATCTTATAGGTATATTTGACAAAAAAAAAGTAAGATCATGAATATTAGAGTTGTAGATACTTAAAAAACATCGCAAGTGAAAATCCAAATAGATAATGTTAAGTTAATTAAAAAGAAAAATTTGAAATATCAATTAAAAAAGGAGCTATAGAAAAATTAGAATCAAATGAAGGAAAAATAAAACGAAAAAAATACAAGAGACAGGCATCTCGAAGAACAAAAACAAAAAGTCATGTTACGGGGAAAAAAAACAGAAACAGAAAAAATGAGAAACACGTGACTTGATACTAAAAAGAATCAAAGAACTATGCAAAAGGAAGAGGAGAAGAATTTAAGAAGAAGAAAAATAAAATTGAAAAGGAGCAAAAATAAAAAAATATATATAAATAACCGCCGATAACTGCAAGAAAATGAGAAAAAACAAAGAAAATTGTCGCAAATATCATTAGAAAAAAATCTTAAAGGTATATTTGACCAAAAAAAAAAAAAAAAAAAATAAGATCATGAATACTAGAAGTTGTAGATACTTAAAAAATATTGCAAGTGAAAATCCAAATAGATAATGCTAAGTTAATTAAAAAGAAAAACGTGAAATATCAATTAAAAGAAGAGCTATAGAAAAATTAGAATAAAATGAAGGAAAAATAAAACGAAAAAAATACAAGAGAAAGGCATCTCGAAGAACAAAAACAAAAAGTCATGTTACGAGGAAAAAAAACAGAAACAGAAAAAATGAGAAACACATGACTTGATACTAAAAAAAATCAAAGAACTATGCAAAAGGAGGAGGAGAAGAATTTAAGAAGAAGAAAAATAAAATTGAAAAGGAGTACAAATAAAAAAATATATATAAATAACCGCCGATAACTGCAAGAAAATGAGAAAAAACAAAGAAAATTGTCGCAAATATCATTAGAAAAAAATCTTATAGGTATATTTGACAAAAAAAAAGTAAGATCATGAATATCAGAGTTGTAGATACTTAAAAAACATCGCAAGTGAAAATCCAAATAGATAATGTTAAGTTAATTAAAAAGAAAAATTTGAAATATCAATTAAAAAAGGAGCTATAGAAAAATTAGAATCAAATGAAGGAAAAATAAAACGAAAAAAATACAAGAGACAGGCATCTCGAAGAACAAAAACAAAAAGTCATGTTACGGGGAAAAAAACAGAAACAGAAAAAATGAGAAACACGTGACTTGATACTAAAAAGAATCAAAGAACTATGCAAAAGGAAGAGGAGAAGAATTTAAGAAGAAGAAAAATAAAATTGAAAAGGAGCAAAAATAAAAAAATATATATAAATAACCGCCGATAACTGCAAGAAAATGAGAAAAAACAAAGAAAATTGTCGCAAATATCATTAGAAAAAAATCTTAAAGGTATATTTGACCAAAAAAAAAAAAAAAAAAAATAAGATCATGAATACTAGAAGTTGTAGATACTTAAAAAATATTGCAAGTGAAAATCCAAATAGATAATGCTAAGTTAATTAAAAAGAAAAACGTGAAATATCAATTAAAAGAAGAGCTATAGAAAAATTAGAATAAAATGAAGGAAAAATAAAACGAAAAAAATACAAGAGAAAGGCATCTCGAAGAACAAAAACAAAAAGTCATGTTACGAGGAAAAAAAACAGAAACAGAAAAAATGAGAAACACATGACTTGATACTAAAAAAAATCAAAGAACTATGCAAAAGGAGGAGGAGAAGAATTTAAGAAGAAGAAAAATAAAATTGAAAAGGAGTACAAATAAAAAAATATATATAAATAACCGCCGATAACTGCAAGAAAATGAGAAAAAACAAAGAAAATTGTCGCAAATATCATTAGAAAAAAATCTTATAGGTATATTTGACAAAAAAAAAGTAAGATCATGAATATCAGAGTTGTAGATACTTAAAAAACATCGCAAGTGAAAATCCAAATAGATAATGTTAAGTTAATTAAAAAGAAAAATTTGAAATATCAATTAAAAAAGGAGCTATAGAAAAATTAGAATCAAATGAAGGAAAAATAAAACGAAAAAAATACAAGAGACAGGCATCTCGAAGAACAAAAACAAAAAGTCATGTTACGGGGAAAAAAACAGAAACAGAAAAAATGAGAAACACGTGACTTGATACTAAAAAGAATCAAAGAACTATGCAAAAGGAAGAGGAGAAGAATTTAAGAAGAAGAAAAATAAAATTGAAAAGGAGCAAAAATAAAAAAATATATATAAATAACCGCCGATAACTGCAAGAAAATGAGAAAAAACAAAGAAAATTGTCGCAAATATCATTAGAAAAAAATCTTAAAGGTATATTTGACCAAAAAAAAAAAAAAAATAAAATAAGATCATGAATACTAGAAGTTGTAGATACTTAAAAAATATTGCAAGTGAAAATCCAAATAGATAATGCTAAGTTAATTAAAAAGAAAAACGTGAAATATCAATTAAAAGAAGAGCTATAGAAAAACTAGAATAAAATGAAGGAAAAATAAAACGAAAAAAATACAAGAGACAGGCATCTCGAAGAACAAAAACAAAAAGTCATGTTACGAGGAAAAAAAAACAGAAACAGAAAAAAGGAGAAACACGTGACTTGATACTAAAAAGAATCAAAGAACTATGCAAAAGGAGGAGAAGAATTTAAGAAGAAGGAAAATAAAATTGAAAAGGAGTAAAAATAAAAAAACATATATAAATAACCGCCGATAACTGCAAGAAAATGAGAAAAAACAGAGAAAATTGTCGCAAATATCATTAGAAAAAAATCTTATAGGTATATTTGACCAAAAAAAAAATTAACTTGAGACTACAAAGAATAAAATAACAATGCACGATAGAAGAATTTAAAAAATAGAACTAAAAGGAGGACAACTTCAAGAAAATGGGAAAAAACAGACACAAAGAAAATTATCGCAAATATAAGGAAAAAAATTAAAAGTAAATTATTAATATAGGTACTAAAAAAAACGCCAGTGAAAACCCAAACAAATAATGACGAGGACTGTAGGTGGAGATAATTATTTAACTGAAAAATAGAATAAATTGAGGTCAAAATTAAACAAACAAAAAAAACCTTTCAAACATAATGTCAAATCAAAGCAAAATAACCAAGTACGCCTATGGTTTACTCACGTGTGTATAACTGGTTGCCTAACCCTAACCTTTTTGTGACAAACATTTAAGAAAATACGTCAACAAAAAACTATAAATAACCATCTTATTGTTACAAATCCAATTTTCACTTAAATCCTCTTAAACAAACAACAAAATACCAAAAATATCCAGTTCCTGTTCCGCCAATGACATCTCCGCACATTCTCCAACCTTGACATTTTCCGCGCTGTTGCCAAACCACCACTAACCTCTCAATCCCGCCACCTCTGCTCCCATTTCTCACAAACCCACCCTCCACCACACGAAAAACCCGCCTTATTCACCCAAAATCGCCATACCTTCCCCCCAACCCAACCATTTTTTCCCTCCCGAACCCCTCAACCCCGAAACGTGGCAACACCACCTCCGGAAATTTGAATGATCCATCATAGGTTAGGTTAGTGATAAGGAGTGATATGTATGTGATAAAACCTAACACACTGGAAGCAGCCCGCAAAAACGCCCCATTTCACCATGGAACCCGAACTTGAAGTACACAAAGGCTACCTGTTGCTCCCCCCAACTGGAAAACTCCTCATGAAGGTAACCCTACCCTGTAACATCCCTCGCCTTTGTCTAACCCTCCCGGTTGCAGAAATCCTGGCAACAGAAGTACTGCTACTTGTTCAAGGCGTCCAAGTTCGGGATAGAGAGGTTGGAGATCTGGGATAGCAGCGACAAGACTAAAGGGACTCCGATCAGGATCATCACTCTGGAGAACTGTATTAAAATCACGCCGGAGGGCGACAACAGGTTTACTATTACGACGAAGACGAATTCGTTGCCGCATGAGTTCTGTGCTTTGAATCTGGAGGAGAAGACTAAGTGGTTGTCGGCTTTCCAGTCAGTGGCGTTTCCGGATGATATGTCGGCGATGACGAGTATTGAGGAGGATAATGATTTGTATTGTTCGTCGGGGGAGGGGATTTTTAATGTGAGGATTCACCCGTCGGCGGCGTCGGAACGTTGCGGGCTCGATAGTTCTGCGCAGTATACGTTGGTACTGAATAGTACAGCTATGCAGTTGAAAAATACGTACGATGGGGTGGTCCTGTATACGTGGCCGTACCGTTTTATAAGGAGGTATGGGTATAAGAATGGGAAGTTCACGTTTGAGGCCGGGAGGAAGTGTGATTCTGGAGAAGGGACTTTCTTTTTGGAGCATTCTAACCAGCAGGAAATATTTAGGTTGGTAGAAGTGTGGTTTGACACTATTTGACATTATTTTTTATTACTTCACTGTTTTCTAATTCTTTTCACTCAGAACTTTTTTTTCTCTTATTTTCCAATCACTGTATTTCATATATTTGCATTTTTATTTCCACCATTCTCTCTTTTGCTTTATACCATTCTACCTATTCATTTACATATATCTTGAGCTCCACTTTTTATCCTTCTTCTTCTTCTTTCCATTCTGTTGTCACTTTCTGCTTTATCATTTGTAATTGACACTTTATTTTCTTTTCTGCATTCTTTATATAATACTCATTCATTAACTTCTACTTAATTCCCTTTGATTTTTCTTTGTTGAGACTTCTTTTTTCATTTCCTCCATATCTGCTAGCACTATTTTGTTTTTCTTATCCTTTATAATCTCATTCTTTAATCCCCTTGATCCGATTCTTCAATTCTCTGATCCTTGGATCTTCTTCGTCAATCTCCTGTCCCTTGATCCTCTTCGTCAATCACATATCCCGTAATTTCTTCCTTTAATCCTCTTGTTTTAACTTCGTGTCCTTTAATCCTTTCCATTCTACCCTTAATCTTCTTCTTTATTCAGTTGTCCCTTAATTCTCGAATTTAATCCCTTGCCCTTTATAAGCTTCTCGTTTAATCCTCTGTCCCTGAAACCTCTTCTTCAATCGCGTGTCCCTTGATTCTCTTCTTCGATCCCCTGACCCTTGATCCTCAACGTCAATCTCCTGTCCCTTGATCGTCTTCCTCAATACACTGTCACTCACTGAACCTTAATCGTCTCTTTTGGTCACTTGTCCTCCGTTTTAATCCCTTGCCCTTTATAATCCTCTCCTTCAATCCCCTTTCCTTTGATCGTAACCTTAAAATCAAGAGTCCCTTGATCATTTTCTTCAATCCCCTGTCCCTTTATACTCGGTCCCTTAATCTTCTCTTTTAACCCCTTGTTCTTTAATCCACTGGCCCTAAATCCTCTCATTTACCCATTTGTCCCTTAAACGTCCGATTTGATTCTTTGTCGTTTATAATATTCTCCTGTAATTCCTGTCTCTGAATCGTCTCCTTCAATCCCTTGCCCCTTAAGCCGCTTCTTCAATTTTCTGTCTCTTAATCCTTTTTGTCAATCCTTTGCCTCTTAATCTCCCCTTTAATCCTCTTGTTTAACTCCGTGTGCTTTAAACCTCTCCTCTATTATCTATTCCTCAATCTTTTCCTTTAATCTATGTCCCTTAAGCTCCTCTTTTAATCTTTATTCTTTAATTCAGTAGCCCTTTATTATCTTCTCATTTATTCAGTTGTCCCTTTATAAGCTTCTCCTTTAATTCCTTGCCTCTAAAACCTCTTCTTCAATCCTCGGTCCCTTGATCATCTTCTTCTATCCCCTGTCCCTTAATCTCCTCTCTCAATCCCCTTGTTTTAACTTCGTGTCGTTTAATCCTTTCCATTTTTCCCGGTTCTTTAAATCTTCTCCTGTAGTCTCATGTCTGTTAAGGTCACGTTTTAACCCTTATTCTTAAATTCAGTGACCCTTAATCTTCTTCTTTATTCAGTTGTCCCTTAATTCTCGAATTTAATCCCTTGCCCTTTATAAGCTTCTCCTTTAATCCTCTGCCTCTGAAACCTCTTCTTCAATCGCGTGTCCCTTGATTCTCTTCTTCGATCCCCTGACCCTTGATCTTCTACGTCAATCTCCTGTTCCTTGCTCGTCTTCCTCAATCCACTGTTACTCACTGAACCTTAATCGTCTCTTTTAGTCACTTGTCCTCCGTTTTAATCCCTTGCCCTTTATAATCCTCTCCTTCAATCCCCTTTCCTTTGATCGTAACCTTAAAATCAAGAGTCCCTTGATCATTTTCTTCAATCCCCTGTCCCTTTATACTCGGTCCCTTAATCTTCTCTTTTAGCCCCTTGTTCTTTAATCCACTGGCCCTAAATCCTCTCATTTACCCATTTGTCCCTTAAACGTCCGATTTGATTCTTTGTCCTTTATAATATTCTCCTGTAATTATTCCTGTCTCTGAATCGTCTCCTTCAATCCCTTGCCCCTTAAGCCGCTTCTTCAATTTTCTGTCTCTTAATCCTTTTCGTCAATCCTTTGCCTCTTAATCTCCCCTTTAATCCTCTTGTTTAACTCCGAGAGCTTTAATCCTCTCCTCTATTATCTATTCCTCAATCTTTTCCTTTAATCTATGTCCCTTAAGCTCCTCTTTTAATCTTTATTCTTTAATTCAGTAGCCCTTTATTATCTTCTCATTTATTCAGTTGTCCCTTTATAAGCTTCTCCTTTAATTCCTTGCCTCTAAAACCTCTTCTTCAATCCTCGGTCCCTTGATTATCTTCTTCAATTCCCTGTCCCTTGAGCCGCTTCGTCAATCCCCTGTCCCTTAATCTCCTCTCTCAGTCCCCTTGTTTAACTCCGTGTCCTATAATCCTTTCCTTTATTCCCTTTTCCGTAATCTTCTCCTTTAATCTTATATGTTTTAGGTTCTCGTTTAATACCCTGTTCTTTAATTCAATAGCCCTTAATCCTTTCGTTTATTTACTTGTCCCTTAATCTTCTCTTTTAGCCCCTTGTTCTTTAATCCCTTGTCCTTTATAATATTCTCCTGTAATCCCTGTCTCTGAATTCTCTCCTTCAATCCCCTGTCCCCCTCTTCTCCTTTAATTCCTTGCCTCTAAAACCTCTTCTTCAATCCCCTGTCTGTTAAGCCTCTTCGTCAATCCTCTGTCCCTTAAAATTTTTCGTCAATCCTCTACACCTTAATCTCCCCATTAATCCTCTACACCTTAATCTCCCCATTAATCCTCTTGTTTAACGCCATGTCCTTGAATCCTTTCCTTTATTCCTTGTTTCTCAATCTTTTCCTCTAATCTATGTCCCTTAAACTCTTCTTTTAATCCTTTGTTCTTTAATTCAGGGGCGCTTTAGTCCCTTGCCCTTTATAATCTTCTCCTTTAATGATCCTCTTCTTCAGTCCCCTGACCCTTGATCTTCTTCGTCAATCTCCTGTCCCTTGATCCTCTTTAAGTTCCTCTTTTAAACCTTTATTCTCTTATTTATTCACTTGTCCCCAAATCCTCCACTTTAATCCCTTGTCCTTTATAATCATCTCCTTCCATCCCCTTTGCACTGATTCTGTACTTAAATCCAGAGTCCCTTAAACATTTTCTTCAATCCCTTGTCCTTTAATCTCCTCTTTTAATCTTTTTGTTTTCCTCCGTGTCCATTAATGCTTTCCTTTATACCCTGTCCCTTAACTTTCATTTGTCCTTTATAATATTCTCCTGTAATCCGTCTCTGAATCCTCTCCTTCCATCCGCTGTCCCTTAAGCCGATTCGTCAATCCTCTGTCCCTTAATCTTTTTCGTCAATCCTCCGCCCCTTAATCTCCTCTTTAATTCTTTTATTTAACTTCATGTCCTTTCATTCTTCCCTTTATTCCCTGTTCTCCTTTAATCTTATGTCCCTTAAGCTCTTATTTTAATCGTTTGTTCTTTACTTCAGTGGCCCTTAATCCTCTCATTTCTGCACCTGTCCCTTAATCATCCGCTTTGTCCTTTATAATCTTTTCCTTTAATCGCCTGTCTCTGAATCGTCTCCTTCAATTCCTTGCCCCTTAAGCCGCTTCTTCAATTTTCTGTCCCTTAATCCTTTTCGTCAATCCTTTGCCTCTTAATCTCCCCTTTAATCCTCTTGTTTAACGCCGTGTACTTTAATCCTTTCCTTTATTATCTATTCCTCAATCTTTACCTTTAATCTATGTCCCTTAAGCTCCTCTTTTAATCTTTATTCTTTAATTCAGTAGCCCTTGATTATCTTCTCATTTATTCAGTTGTCCCTTTATAAGCTTCTCCTTTAATTCCTTGCCTCTAAAACCTCTTCTTCAATCGTCGGTCCCTTGATCGTCTTCTTCAATTCCCTGTCCCTTGAGCCGCTTCGTCAATCCCGTGTCCCTTAATCTCCTCTCTCAATCCCCTTGTTTAACTCCGTGTCCTATAATCCTTTCCTTTATGCCCTTTTCCGTAATCTTCTCCTTTAATCTCATATGTTTTAGGTTCTCGTTTAATACCCTGTTCTTTAATTCAATGGCCCTTAATCCTCTCGTTTATTTACTTGTCCCTTAATCTTCCCTTTTAGCCCCTTGTTCTTTAATCCACTAGCCCTAAATCCTCTCATTTATTCATTTATCCCTTAATCGTCCGCTTTAATCCCTTGTCCTTTATAATATTCTCCTGTAATCCCTGTCTCTGAATTCTCTTCGTCAATCCTCTGTCCCTTAACATTTTTCGTCAATCCTCTACACCTTAATCTCCCCATTAATCCTCTTGTTTAACGCCATGTCCTTGAATCCTTTCCTTTATTCCCTGTTCCTCAATCTTTTCCTCTAATTTATGTCCCTTAAACTCTTCTTTTAATCCTTTGTTCTTTAATTCAGGAGCGCTTTAGTCCCTTGCCCTTTATAATCTTCTCCTTTAATGCCCTGTCTCTGGAACCTCTCCCCAATCCCATGCCCCTTGATCCTCTTCTACATTCCCCTGACCCTTGATCTTCTTTGTCAATCTCCTATCCCTTGATCCTCTTTAAGCTCCTCTTTTAATCCCTTATTCTCTTATTTATTCACTTGTCCCCAAATCCTACACTTTAATAATCCCTTGTCCTTTATAATCATCTCCTTCCATCCCCTTTCCACTGATTCTGTACTTAAATCCAGAGTCCCTTAAACATTTTCTTCAATCCCTTGTCCTTTAATCTCCTCTTTTAATCTTTTTGTTTTCCTCCGTGTCCATTAATGCTTTCCTTTATACCCTATCCGTTAACTTTCATTTGTCCTTTATAATATTCTCCTGTAATCCCTGTCTCTGAATCCTCTCCTTCAATCCCCTGTCCCTTAAGCCGCTTCGTCAATCCTCTGTCCCTTAATCCTTTTCGTCAATCCTCTGCCGCTTAATCTCCCCTTTAATGCTGTTATTTAACTTCGAGTCCTTTCATTCTTCCCTTTATTCCTTGTTCCTCAATGTTCTCCTTTAATCTTATGTTCTTTAAGCTCTTCTTTTAATCGTTTGTTCTTTAATTCAGTGGCCCTTAATCCTCTCATTTATTCGCTTGTCCCTTAATCATCCGCTTTAATCCCTTGTCCTTTATAATCTTTTCCTTTAATCGCCTATATTTATAACCTCTCCCTAATCTCATGTCCTTTAACCTCCCCTTTAAACTCTTATTCTCTAATTCAGTGGCCCTTAATCCTCTCATTTATTCACGTGTTCCTTAATCCCCCGCTTCAATATCTTGCCCTTTATAATCTTCTGCTTTAATTCGCTGTTTCTCAAACCCCTGCCCCATTCCGTGTCCTTTGAACCACTCCTTCAATCCCCTGATCCTTAATCTTCTTTGTCACTATCCTTGATCCTTTTGGTCAGTTGCTCGTCCTTTGATCCGTTTCGTCAATTTCCTGTCCCTTTATTTCCTGCCCCTTAATCTCCTTCTTTAATCTCATGTTCTGTATCTTCTCTTTTAATCCTCTGTTCTTTAATTCACTGACCGTAATTCTCTCATTCATTCATTTTTTAATCCTTAGACCTGACCTGACCTGACATGTTCCTTAATCTTTTCTTTTAATCCCTGATTTCTTTCTTCCCTCTGCTTGAATCCAATACCCTTGAATCCCTTATTTTTTTAATAACATCTCTATCTTTGCTCCTCTGCTCCCAGAGATACTCTGTCACCTGACCTGACCTGATCTATTCTCTAGAATCTATTCTGCATCATCTATACCTTCTAATTTATCTTGTATTCTTTCCTCCTCTATCCGCTATTCTCTGTCCTCTATCTTGTTCTGTGTCCTCTTTCCTCAGTCTTCTATTCTTTGTTCACACTCTTCAGAACTTCGATAAAACCCTAATAAAACCGCCACCTCTTCCAGATGCATCTCCTCGAAAATGAAATCAATGAAGAAACTGCTCAAGGACGACTCCGCCCCCACGCTGCCCCTTCTCGACTGCGGCGACAACCAATTCCATGCCGCCCTCAGCATGGAGGCCCGCTCCCGCAGCCCCCTGCCGCCCTCGCCCACCGCCTCCACCACCCTCCACGATGTCGACACCAGCACGTCCTCGTCCATCCTCCTCGACGCCGACAAGAAGTCCCGGCCCAAACCCACCAAGCCCCCGCGCAAATCCCTCGCCACCCGCCGCCTCCCCGACACCTACGAGCCCGTCGACAAGTACGACAAGATCGAGTACCGCAACGACGCGTGGAAGACGCTGGGCGTGGGCGAGATCAAGCACACGGAGAACATCGCCAGCGGGGACGAGGACGACGTGTACATGTCGTGGGGGGACCACAAGACGGCGGCCAACGTGATGGTGCAGACGCGGGCGCCGAAGATCATCAAGCAGACGTCGAACGAGGACAACTACGACAAGCTGGAGTTCTTCGGCTCGTCGAACAAGCTGAATGTGAAGTCGGGGTACAAGCAGGTGTCGGTGGCGTCGGGGCTGAACTCGTACACGCCGAGTTTTAACGACTACGACGAAGTGCAGCCGGCGATGGAGGAGATCAGGTTGGCGGACGATAAGCACCTGGGGTATGCGCTGGTGCGGAAGAGTGCGGGGAAGGAGCAGAAGGACGTGGATCACCAGTTTCATAATAACGAGCCGTATGCGGTTATCAGCAAGCCAAAAAGAGTCTAGTCGGGGGGGAGTAATAGCCTGCGTACGACCAGAGTGCCATAGAGGGCTTTCGGATGTTTATAGTATTACCGTTGTGATTTTTGTGCAAGTTGTTAGAGGAACTTTTTTATAGATTGAGAGAGTATTTTTGTATATTTGATACTTAATTTGTATTTTTAATACGCGGTTTTTATACTTGCAATATTTGTGTATAGTCCATACATCAGAGGATGTGTGTTGCCTGCTGTATTTGCCTTTTATATGTATTAAAGAGTATATTTACAAAATAAGTTTTGTTATTTCATAATATATTGTGGGATGTGGACCGCGACGAAGTTTTCGAAAGATTCGGTTTGAGAGACAAATTTTTTAACAATCCCAAAAACTATATTTTCGAATATATCAAACCTAAAACAACTTCTGAAGGTCGCAATCTACAAAAGAATCTATTTACATAATTTTCGAAAGTGGTAGAAAAAAGGTTAAAAATTTCATGAAAGAATATTGAAAAATTAAGATTTTGCAAAAGTAGGACCAAAATTTTCGAAATATTCGGTTTTAAAATACAATTTTTCGAAAATTTTAAACGTCATTTCATTTAGCGATTTTGGAAAAATGATAGGAATTTTCGAAGAACTGAAACCGAAAATAACTTCTAGAGGTCGAAATCTAGAAAAAAAAATGTCTACGTAATTTTCGAAAGTGAAATTGAAACTGAAATTTATTGGTGTACAGGTACGTAAGATGTACGAATACGAATTATAAAAATTCAGATTACATTTCATTACAGTCAAACAAAATATTCTTTTGTACCACATAATGTAATGGTCAAAAAAGGATGGAAAACTTCATAAGGAGGGACTACAGAAAAACTGAGATTTTTGAAAAGTTGACTTAAAATCCACGATGTATCTGTTCTTTCCTCTGTTCTTTGTTCTCTTTCTTCTACTGTCTATCCTTTTGTTCTCTATCTTCGATTCTTTCTTCTCTGTCCTGTATCCTGTTATGTGTCTTCAATCCTCTGGTTTTTGTCTTCAGTCCTCTGTTCCCCGTGTTCTTTTCTCTGTTGTCTGTCCTCTATCCTCTGTTGTCTGTCCTATCTTCTCTTTTTGTTTTATCTTATTCTCTATCCTCTATTCTGTTCTGTGTCCTCTATTCTGTTCTTTGTCCTCTTTCTTCTGTTGTCTATTCTCTGCTCTCAATCTTCTATTCTATCATCTCTGTCCTCTGTCGTCTATTCTCTGTTCTCTGTCCTCTATCTCTTTTTGTCTTCCATCCTGTTCTGATCTGTCCTTTACCTTCTGTTATCTTCTTTCTCTTCCATATCCGCTATTCCTTCTTTTCTGTCCTGGATCCTCTGTTACCTGACTTCCGTTCTCCATTCTCTGTCCTCTATTTTTTATCTTCTATCCGCTGTTCCGTGTGTTCTACTCTCTGTCTCTATGCTTTGTTCTCTGTGCTCTACCCTGTTCTCTGCCCACTATCCTGTTATCCTCCATAACAGAAGATAAATATCAGATATCTTCTATTCTCTCTTCTCGTTCTTCTACCCTGCTGTGTGCTCTATCTTCTATTTTCTGTTATCTATTCTCTCTTTTCTATCTTCTATTCTGTTCTCTGCCTTCCGTCCTGTTGTCTGTCCACTATATTGTTCTATGTCCCCTATCCTCTGCTTTCTAACCTGTACTTTGTCCTCTATCCTCTCCTGTGTCTTCTATCCTTTGCTACATGACCTCCAAACTGTGTTCTTTTGTTCTATTCTTTCTTTCCTGTCCCTATCCTCTATCATCTATCTTCCAATCTCCATTCTGTGTCCTCTGTTCTCTGTCCTCTTTCCTCTGATCTTTGTCGTCTTTCTTTTGCCGTCTATCCTGTGTCCTGAATTCTGTTCTTTATCTTCTATATTTTCTTTTATCCTCTGTGTCTTGTAGTGTACTCTCTGTTCTCTGTCATTTATTTTCTTCTTTATCTTCTATTCTCTGTTCTGTGTCCTCCATCCTCTATTCTCTGCTCTTTACCCCCTGTTTTCTGTCATCTGTCCTGTTCTGTATCCTCTACTCTCTATTAAGTGTAGCCAAAACTCTGTTCTTTATGTTCTATTCTCTCTTCTCTATCCTCTATTCTTTGTTGTCTGTCCTATCTCCTCTTTCTTCTGTCGTCAATTCTCTGCTTTCTATCCTCTATTCTATCTTCTCTGTCCTCTAGCCTCTGTTTTTTGTCCCTCATTCTGTTTACTATCCACTATCCTGTTCTATGTCCTCTAGTCTATGTTCTGTGTTCTTTACCTTATGTTATCTACTATCTCTTCTCTATCTGCTATTCCTTTTTTTCTATCCTCGACCCTCTTATTACCTTACTTCCATTCTCCGTTCTCTGTCCTCTATTCTCTATTTTTTATCCGCTGTTCCGTGTGTTATATTCTCTGTCTCTATGGTCTGTTCTCTATCCTCTGCCCTGTTCTGTGCTCACTATTCTATATCCTCTAACATTTGTTTTTTACGATGTTCTTTGTTGTTTATTCTGTTCTGTGTCCTCTATCCGCTATTCTATGTCTTCCATACTCTCCTCTCTGCTCTTTATCTTGTATTCTCATTTCTCGTTCTTCTATCCTGCTGTGTCATCTATCTTCTGTTCTCTGTTATCTATTTTCTCTTTTCTATCTTCTGTTCTGTTCTCTTCCTTCCGTCCTGTTCTCTGTCCACTATATTGTTCTGTGTCCCCTATCCTCTGTTTTCTAAACGGTATTTTGCCCCCTATCCTCTTCTGTCTCTTCTATCCTTTGCTACCTGACCTCCAAACTCTGTTCTTTTGTTCTATTCTCTCTTTCCTGTTCCCTATCGTCGATCATCTATCTTCCAATCTCCATTCTGGGTCCTCTGTTCTCTGTCATTTTTCCTCTGATCTTTGTCCTCTTTCTTTTGCCGTCTATCCTCTGTGTTGAATTCTGTTCTTTATCTTCTATATTTTCTTTTATCCTCTGTGTCTTGTAGTGTACTCTCTGTTCTCTGTCATTTATTTTCTTCTTTATCTTCTATTCTCTGTTCTGTGTCCTCCATCCTCTATTCTCTGCTCTTTATCCCCTATTTTCTGTCATCTGTCCTGTTCTGTATCCTCTACTCTCTATTAAGTGTAGCCAAAACTCTGTTCTTTATGTTCTATTCTCTCTTCTCTATCCTCTATTCTTTGTTATCTGTCCTATCTCCTCTTTCTTCTGTCGTCAATTCTTGCTTTCTATCCTCTATTCTATCTTCTCTGTCCTCTATCCTCTGTTTTTTGTCCCTCATTCTGTTTAGTATCCACTATCCTGTTCTATGTCCTCTAGTCTATGTTCTGTGTTCTTTACCTTATGTTATCTACTATCTCTTCTCTATCTGATATTCCTTCTTTTCTGTCCTCGACCCTCTTATTACCTTACTTCCATTCCCCGTTCTCTGTCCTCTATTCTCTATTTTTTATCCGCTGTCCGTGTGATATATTCTCTGTCTCTATCGTCTGTTCTCTATCCTCTGCCCTGTTCTGTGCTCACTATTCTATGTCCTCTAACATTTGTTTTTTAAGATCTTCTTTGTTGCCTATTCTGTTCTGTGTCCTCTATCCGCTATTCTATGTCTTCCATACTCTGCTCTCTGCTCTGTGTCTTCTATTCTCATTTCTCGTTCTGCTATCCTGCTGTGTCGTCTATCTTCTGTTCTCTGTTATCTATTTTCTCTTTTCTATCTTCTATTCTGTTCTCTGCCTTCCGTCCTGTTGTCTGTCTACTATATTGTTCTATGTCCCCTATCCACTGCTTTCTAACCTGTACTTTGTCCTCTATCCTCTCCTGTGTCTTCTATCCTTCGCTACATGACCTCCAAACTCTGTTCTTTTGTTATATTTTCTCTTTCCTGTCCCCGATCCTCTATCACCTATCTTCCATTCTCCATTCTGTATCCTCTGTTCTCTGTCTTCTATTCTCTATTCTCGGTCCTCTTTCCTCTGATCTTGGTCCTTTTTCTTTTGTCGTCTATCCGCTATTCTGTTTTTTATCTTATATATTCTCTTTTGTCCTCTGTGTCTTGTTGTCTACTTTCTATTCTCTATCATTTATTCTATTCTTTATCTTCTATTCTCTGTTCTGTGTCCTCTATTCTCTATTATGTGTACCCCAAACTCTGTTATTTATGTTCCATGCTCTCTTCTTTGTCCTCGATCCTGTTTTCTGTCCTCTTTCCTGTTCTTTATCCTCTTTATTCTGTCGTCAATTCTCTGTTCTCTATCTTATATTCTATCTTCTCTGTCCTCTATGTTTTCCCTGAGGTCTATTCTCTGTTCTCTGTCCTCTATCCTCTGTTTTTTGTCCCCATCCTGTTCCCTGTCCACTATTCCGTTCTGTGTCCGTTATCGTGTGTTATCTACCTTCTCTTCTCTTTCTGCTATTCCTTCTTTTCTGTCCTCGATCCTCTGTTACTTGACTTCAATTCTCCCTTCTCTGTTCGCTATTCTCCATCTTTTATTCGCTGCTCCGTGTGTTATTATATTCTGTCTCTATCCCCTGTTCTCGCTCCTCTACCCTATTCTTTGCCCACTATCGTGTTCTATGTCCTCTAACATCTGTTTTCTAACCTATTCTTTGTCGTCTATTCTGTTCTGTGTCATCTATCTTCTATTCTCTATTATCTATTTTCTCTTTTCTACCTTCTATTCTGTTCTCTGTCTTCCGTTCTGTTCTCTGTCCACTATATTATTCCATGTCCCCTTGTTTTTTTTCCTTTCCTGTCCCTATCCTCTATCACCTATCTTCCATTCTCTGTTTCGTGTCCTCTGTTCTGTGTCTTCTATTCTTTGTTCTCGGTCCTCTTTCCTCTGATCTTTGTCCTCTGTCACTTATTCTATTCTTTATCTTCTATTTTCTGTTCTGTTTCCTCTATTATTTGCTCTGTGTCCGCTCTTCCCTGTCTTCTGTTCTCTATTCTCTGTCCTCTATCCGTTGTTCTCTGTCATCTTTCTTCTGTCATCTATCCTATGTTTTCTATCTTGTTCTCTGTCCTGTATTCCTCTATCATCTGCTCTCTGCTATATATTCTCTCTTGCCTATCTTTATCCGCTGTTCCCTGTTTTCTATTCTCTGTTCTCTGTCCGCTGTCCGTTTTATGTCCTATATCCTGTGTTTTCTAATCTGTACTTTTCCTCTATCTTTTGTTCTCTGTCCTCCATCCCCTGTATCCAATTCTCTGTTCCCTGTATACTGTAATTTTCGAAAGTGATCGAAAAAAGGTGGACACTTTCATCAGGGTAAGAATTGAAAAATTGGGATTTTGGAAGTCTGAGAAATAAATTTCGACGTGCTAATTCTAAAAATATGACGAAGATTTTCTAAATACTTATATAGTTTTAAAGTCATTTCTTAATAGTAAAAATTGCTATATTTCAAGTGACGATTCTGGAAAAATAGTACGAGTTATCGAAGAACTGAAGCCGAAAATAAATTCAGGGGTCGAAATCTGCAAAACAATGTATTTCCGTAATTTTCGAAAGTGCTCGAAAAAAGATCAGTTAAGATGAAAAGTGGCCTAAAAATTCATAAAAAATCCAGGGATATTCATCTCGACGTGCTGATTCCAAAAATATATCATATTTATGGACCACAACTAAGATTTTCGAAAATATGTGCTCTCAAAGTCAAATTTTTCAAACCCAAGAGCGCCATCTACCTTCCACAGTGTGAAACACGTTCAAAAACTGATTTCACCCATCGAATAAACTTCTAAAAACACAAGTTTTCCTGCTTAAACCCTAATAACTCTTAAAAAACACCATTTTTCCCCTTAAAAAAAATCCTCCGCACCACCTAATTACCCATTCTCGTCAAAAACCAACAAACCTCGCCTCTAACTTTCACATTTTCGTCGCAATGATTCAATTAAGTCAAATGTGCCAAGTTTCACATTGAACTTGGTAGATATGGTGTGAATAACCAAGACTATTTCGTGTATTGTTATTGGATGAAGAAACCCGTACTTCTTGACGGTGTTTTAGCAAGGTCAACCTCTAGAGAACGTCAATTTATAAACCTACTCACTTCAAATCACCTTTAGTTGCAGACATGAAGCCGTTGAAGATCACCATATTGTTACTTTTCGCCGCTGGTAAGCATTCCTCGCTATTAAAAAAAAGTCTGATAATGAGCCCAAGGGGCGTCTTCGACCAGTTCGTGCCAAAAATTGCCCTTCTTTGTGAAACCAGTGGCGTGCAACTGTACCCATAAACCAGTTACGAAACCGTAGTGTACGTGCAAAACCCCTAGTACGCCACTGAGTGAAAGTGATTCTTTATTTTTAATTCTGGTATTTAAGGCCAACTGCCACCTCCAGCGGTGTTAATCGAGTTTATATTGACATTTATTTTATCTTTTCCAGGATGTGTGACAGCGGCGAGGAAAAACCAAGGATCTAGGAGAAATCCAGAGCCTGTGGACGACGCGGAAACCACAGACCAGTGCCCAGAACCCAATGGGTACTTCGCCGACGCTGAACAATGTGATAAATATTACGAGTGCATTGAGGGAGGGATTAAGGAAAAGTTGTGCCCCGATGGGATGGTCTTCAATGATTTTAGCACGGAATACGAAAAATGTGACCTACCTTTTAACATCGACTGTACGTCGAGGCCGAAATTGCGTAAGTAGGAGACACGGGGTGTGTTCGAGAAGCAAATTCTTCAGTTTTTTAAATTTCATCATTTATCGTTGTTGCCAAGCAAAAACACTGATGACGTCATAAGTTCACAGTTATATGGTGACGCCAAACTATTTGATTTAAATTTGTGTTTGAAAAAATTACTTGGTCACCCCTGGACATTACCGCTTGTACATACCTGATGACGTCACCCAGAAAATCCAGGTAGGAGACACGGGGTGTGTTCGAGAAGCAAATTCTTCAGTTTTTTTAAATTTCATCATTTATCGTTGTTGACAAGCAAAAACACTGATGACGTCATAAGTTCACAGTATATATGGTGACGCCAAACTATTTGATTTAAATTTGTGTTTGAAAAAATTACTTGGTCACCCCTGGACATTACCGCTTGTACATACCTGATGACGTCACCCAGAAAATCCAAGCGTTGAATTTTCGCCCAATTTTCACACAACTCAAGCAAAAGCCTCGCAAGGCACTCACGTGATAGCAAAGAACGATTTTCCTGCCACGAATTTTCCGGAAAAGCGTTTATTTACACGTTTATCTCATCTTGAATCCAGTGTGATAAAACCGGGAAAAACACACACCAAGCGATTTCCACATTTCCACGCCCTCATAGACACTCAGTTTCCACTTTTCACCGATTTTCACACGTGTGGAGGGCGGTTTTCCTGAAAATTTTAGGAAAATTCGCGAATTGAGTGCCGGCTTAGGCTTTTCGCGCGAGACTAATGCCAACGTGAATTGTCACCACGACAAAGTCCCCAACTCAATTAAATAAAACGCGACTAATTAAACAAAAATTGAACTTTAAAAGGGCCTTTTCTCCTATTTTTATTACAAAAATTGTAACGAGAATATTTATAACAATCCCGGACGAAATCTCTCCTGACGTCACAAGATGGCCACTCATGGCGCCAATTTTGAATTTTCTTTCAGAACAACCCCAACCTAGCCAACACTGCCCCCGCAAACACGGCTACTTCGCCCACGAGGAGACCAACATCTGCGACAAGTTCTACTACTGCGTTGACGGCAAATTCAACATGATTGTGTGCCCCAACGGCCTGGTCTACAACGAAAAAGCCGGGATTTGCTCCTGGCCAGACGAAGCCAAGAAGAAGGGGTGTTCTTCTGAAGGTACGGACTTCCGTGACGTCCTAATACTTCTCCTGGACTTGCTTTTTTCTTGCAGAGGTGTTCCAGTTCGAGTGCCCCAAAGTAAACGAGAGCGTGGGTGCCACCCACCCCAGGTACGCGGACCCAGACGACTGCCAGTACTTCTACGTTTGCATTAACGGTGATACTCCCAGAAGGAGTGGGTGTAAACTTGGTCAGGTCTTCGACGATGTCCAGAAGAAGTGTGACTGGGTGAGGAATGTTCCTGAATGGTGAGTTTAGGGAGTTGGGGTTTGCGGAGTTGGTGATTGTGTTTGTGTTGGCAGCGCTGATTGGTACAAGGGGAGGTTGACTGAGGAGCAGTTGAAGGAGTTGGAGAATCCGCCGACACCTAAACCTAGACCGACGAAGGTGAGCAGGAGGAGGCCTAGGCCGCCGAAGCACAGTCCTGTGGAGGATGATGTCTAGGTTTAAATTTATAAGCAATTGATGGTAGATGTAGTAGGGCTGTAATTGTATATTATGTAAGAGGACTTTCAGTAAAAAATCGTTATGAAGGTTGTGTTTTAATGTGTTTGGGTGGGGAGTAGGTAGGATGATTGTGGTGGTGATGTCACTTGGAATTCAACCAATCAGGTCTTTAAGTTTTACCGCGAAATTCAAATCTTTTTGAATTAGAAAAAACTGCGAGGTAGAAATTTATAATAAAATATAAGAGCAAATACGGGATAAATTTAGGGAAGATTTTAAACGTAAAGTGTGGTAGATTTCAAGATCTTAAAAAAAGACTCAAAAAGTGTTTTCGAAAAAAATACAAAAAAATGGTCGAAAAATTTTTGGGGATTTTTGTTTTCTAATAAACCTCTATAAAGTAAAAACCAGTGGCGTAAATAACACTAAATAATAGGGGTGGACAATATATGAAATATATTTAAAGCAGATAACCAAAGGAAAATATGCTTTCTGATAAATCTAAAAACTGAAAAATGAAAATATCGAGAAATCAAAAAAATTTAAATATCGAGGAATTAAAAAACTGAAAAATCAAAAAACTGTAATGCCCAAAAATCAAAAATTTAAAAATTCGAAAAATTGAAATCTGGAAAGTTGAAAATCCAGCAATCGAATAAAAAAAATCGAAAAATTTAAAATTGAAAAAGTCGAAAGACAGAAATCCAGAAATTGAAAAATTTTAAAAACCGAAGAAAAGTCTAAACGTTGAGAAATTGAAAATTGGAAAAATTGAGATATTAAAAATTTTAAAAACTCTTGAGATACAAACATCGAAAAACTAAAACACCGAAAAAAGTAAAATTTTAAAAATTGAAAAAGTCTAAAATCTGAAAAATTAAAACAAACGAAAAATCAAGAAATTGGAAAATCGACAAATCGAAAAGCCGGAAAGTCGAAAAAAAATCGGAACACCGAGAAATTGAAACAGTGAAAAATTGAAACATCGAAAAATCGAATTGGCCTAGAATCGAAAATTTGAAAAATCTAAAATTGAAAAATCGAAAAATCTACAATTTAAAAAATTGAGAAATTAAAATATCTAAGGTTGAAAAACGAGAAATCTAAAACCGAGAAGTAGAAAAATCGGGTAATCGAATAAAAAAAAAATGAAAAAATCGAAAAATTAAAATATTGAAAAATTGCAAAAACTAGAAATTGAAAAAATTCAAAACTTAAAATGTTGAAAAATCGAGAAATCGGAAAATGGAAAGGTCCAAAAATTTTAAAAATCATAAAACCTAGATATCGACAAATCAAAAATTCGAAAAATTGAGACAAAATTAAAAAATCGTGAAATCCAAACATCAAAAAAATTGAAAACCCAAAAAATCAAAACAAACGAAAAATCGAAAAATCCCAAAAAATTGAAGAATCCAAAAACTAAAAAATCAAGAAACTGAAAAATACCAAAACTGAACTGTCGAAAAATGTTGGAAAATCGAAAAATGGAAAAGCCGGAAAGTCGAAAAATCGGAAAATCGAAATTGCCTAAAATCGAAAATTTTAAAAATCTACATTTTCAAAAATTTGAAAAAATAAAAAAAAGAAAAATCCAAGAACTAGAAAATCGAAAAGTTTACAATTCAAAAATTGAGAAATTGAAAACCGAGAAATCGAAACATCAAAAAATCGAAGAATTGAAAAACTGAAAAATCAAAAACCGAGAAGTAGAAAAATCGGAAATCGAAATCTTAAAAAAATAAGAGAATTTAAAATTGAAAAATCTAAAATATAAAAATCGAAAAATTAAATATCGAAAATTTGAAAAATCGATAAATCGAAAACTTGAAGAATCGGAGAATTGAAAAATCCTAAAAATGAAAAATCGCAAAATTGGGAAATCATAAAAAATTTGAAAAATCGAAATTCGAAAATTTGAAAAATTGAATTGAAAAACTGAAAAATCGAGAAGTCAAGTAATCGAAACAGTGAAAATTCGAGAAATCTATAAATTGAAAAATCAACAAATCGTAAAATCAAGAAGTCGAAAATATAGGGACGCCAATAAAAATTGAAAAATAGGAACATTAAAAAAATTTAAGAATTGATAAACTGGAAAATCAAAAAGTAAAAAATCGCAGTCGAAAAATCTATAATTTAAAAATCAAACTATTGACAAATCCAAAAATTGAAACATCGAAAAAGCAGAAAATCAATAAATTGAAAAATGGAAGAACCAAAAAATTGAGAAATCCCAAAACTGAAAAATGGAAAAATTGAAAAATCAGAAACTCGAAAAATCAAAAAATTGAGAAATTGAGAAGTCAAGAAATCGTAACACTAAAAAGAAAAATTAAAAATAAAAACATTAATAAAAAATTTAAAATTCGAAATAATGAAAAATCAAGAAATCGAAATAGAGAAAATGAGTAACTGAAAATTTAGACAGCCCAAAAACTGAAAAAAATGGAAAATCGGAAAAATTAAAAACAGAAATATTAAAAAATTTAAAGATCGAAATAATAAAAAATTGAGAAATCGAAAAATCGATAATTTAAAAACCGAACTATTAAAAAATCCATAAACTGAAATATCGAAAAAATAAAAAATTGAAAGAAGATTGAAGAAGCGAAAAATTGGAAAATCCCAAAGCCAAGAAATCGAAACATCAAAAAATCGAAGAATTGAAAAACCGAAAAATCAAAAACCGAGAATTAGAAAAATCGGAAATTGAAACCTTAAAAAATTAAGACAATTTAAAATCTAAAATATAAAAATCGAAAAACTTAAATATCGAAAATTTGAAGAATCGTTAAATCGAAAACTTGAAGAATCGAAGAATTGAAAAATCCCAAAAATAAAAAATCGAAAAATTTGAAAAATCGATAAATTAAAAAATGGAAGAAAAATTGAAGAAATAAAAAATTGAAAAATCCCAAAACCAAAAAATTGAAAAATCCCAAAACTGAAAGATGGAAAAATTGAAAAATCAGAAACTCGAAAAATCAAAAAGCTGAAAACTGGAATGCCGAAAAATCGATTAATGGAGAAACTGAAAAAGAAATCGAAAATTTACGAACGTCAGAAATTGAAAAATTGAAAAATTAGAAGACTGAAAAATCGTAAAATTCAAATATTGAAAAATTGAGAAATCATGAAAAAAAAATCGAACAAGTGAAAAACCGAAATAATGAAAAACCCCGAAATTGAAACATCGAAAAAGTGAGAAATCGTAAAATTGAAAAATCAAAAAATTGATATGTAATTTAAAAAACCAAAAAATTGAAAAATCAAAAACCTGAAAAATCGAAAAATTGAGAAATTGAGAAGTCAAGAAATCGAAACACTAAAAAGAAAAATTAAAAAGAGAAACATTAAAATTTAAAAATCGAAATAATGAAAAATCAAGAAATCAAAAACTTTATAATTCAAAAATCGAACTATTAAAAAATTCAGAAACTAAAATATCGAAAAAATGAAAAAATTGATGAATTGAAAAATCGAAGAAAAATGGAAGAACCGAAAAATTGAAAAATCCCAAAATTGAAAAACCGAAAAATTCAAAAATGGAAGAAAAATTGAAGAACTAAAAATTGAAAAATCCCAAAACTGAAAAATGGAAAAATTGAAAAATCAGAAACTCGAAAAATCAAAAAGCTGAAAACTGGAATGCCGAAAAATCGATTAATCGAGAAACTGATAAAGAAATCGAAAATTTACGAGCGTCAGAAATTGAAAAATTGAAAATTAGAAGATTGAAAAATCGTAAAATTCAAATATCGAAAAATTGAGAAATCGAGAAAAAAAATCGAACAATTGAAAAACCGAAATAATGAAAAACTCCGAAATTGAAACATCGAAAAATTAAGAAATCGTAAAATTGAAAAATCGAAAGCTGAGAAATCGAAAAGTCGAAAAATCAAAAAATTGATATGTAATTTAAAAAATCAAAAAATTGAAAAATCGAAAAATTGAGAAATTGAGAAGTCAAGAAATCGAAACACTAAAAAGAAAAATTAAAAATAGAAACATTAAAAAAATTAAAAATCGAAATAATGAAAAATCAAGAAATCGAAAAATTTATAGTTCAAAAATCGAACTATTAAAAAATTCATAAACTACAATATCGAAAAAATAAAAAAAATCGAAAAATTGAAAAATCGAAGAAAAATTGAAGAACTGAAAAATATGAAAAATCCCAAAATTGAAAAACCGAAAAATTGAAAAATGGAAGAAAAATTGAAGAACTAAAAAACTGAAAAAATCCCAAAACTAAAAAATTGAAAAATCCCAAAACTGAAAAATGGAAAAATTGAAAAATCAGAAACTCGAAAAATCAAAAAGCTGAAAACTGGAATACCGAAAAATCGATTAATCGAGAAACTGAAAAAGAAATCGAAAATTTACGAACGTCAGAAATTGAAAAATTGAAAAATCGAAAAATTGAGAAATTGAGAAGTCAAGAAATCGAAACACCAAAAAGAAAAATTAAAAATAGAAACATTAAAAAAATTAAAAATCGAAATAATGAAAAATCAAGAAATAGAAAAATTTAAAGTTAGTTATAATCGAACTATTAAAAAATTCAGAAACTACAATATCGAAAAAATAAAAAAAATCAAAAATTGAAAAATCGAAAAAAAATTGAAAAACTGAAAAATTGAAAAATCCCAAAATTGAAAAACCGAAAAATTGAAAAATCAAAAACCCCAAAAATAAAAAAATTAGAAGTCAAGAAATTGACACACTAAAAAGTGGAGATATCGAGAAATGAGAAATTAAAAAAATCGAAAAATCGAGAAATCAAAAAATCAAAAAATCGGTTAATAGAGAAATTGAATAACCGAAAATTTAGAGGGCCCAAAAACTGAAAAAATGGAAAATCGGAAAAATTAAACATGAAAACATTAAAAAATTTAAAGATCGAAATAGAAAAAAATTGAGAATTCGAAAAATCGATAATTTGAAAATCGAACTATTAAAAAGTCCATAAACTGAAATATCGAAAAAATAAAAAATTGAAAAATTGAAAAATCGAAGAAAGATTGAAAAAACGAAAAGCTGGAAAATCCCAAAACTGAAAAATCGAAAAATTGAAAAATCAATAACTCCAAAAATCAGATATCGTGAATTCAAGAAATCGGAAAATCGAAAAGTCCAAAAAAATTGAAGAACCGAAAAATTGGAAAATTTCAAAAATGAAATCAAAAATCGAAAATTCGAAAAATAAAAAAATCAAGAAATGGAAAATTCGAAAAATAGAGGAACTGAAAAATCTCAAAACTGAAATATCGAAAATTGAGTAATCGAAAATTCGAAAAACTGAGAAATCAAAAAATTGTTACACACTTTTAATTTTTTGTCCAAAAATCTCGAGTCTAGGATAAAAATTCAATACAAATTTTTTTTAATGTGTCGAAACGAAAATAAATTGTAAATTTACAACGAGAAAATGAGATATTTGTATTAACAAATAATAGGCGACATATAGAAGACAAAGAAGACAGAAAAGACAGGACACAAAGAATAAATAAAAAGAGCATATGAAATGAAAGAACGATAGAACCTAATGCACAACAGAAGCAAAAACTACATAGAAGTTGTTAAAGAATCTAGATAAAGAAGGGTGAAAGTGAACAAAACGCGAAAACCGGGACAAATAAATCTTAAAACAATTTGAAAATCCGAAAGAATCGTAAAATATCCAACACCAGTTAGCACTTGAAAATAGACCAAAACTTTGTGAAAACTGAATCAAAATCCTGGGGCTATAAATATCTGGAATTAATTTCTGTTTGCGAGATACACAAATGAACTTAACACTATTACAGCAAGTGCCTCCGGACAAAACCTTTGCAAAACATCCAGCACCTAATTACCACAAGCTCATGTTTCATGACTCCACGTTTCCACACATTCGAAGAAGACCTTCAATGTCTCTAAATTCCAAATTTTACACCGAAATCGTTACCTAATTACCATTTTCAGGCCATTTTCGTAACAACGCCTCCATTCCAACCAACAAAAAATCCATTTTTCGCCCAAGAATTCCAAACCCGACCTTGTACTTGAAGCTGCGATTGTTTTGTTGCTTAACCTTGCTGCACCGAAAACGTTCAACTCATGAATGCAAGAAGTAGTCCAAAATGGAAAAAAACAAAATCCTCGAAATGTCAGTGAAAGTAACATTCTTCATTGACAAAACGCATTTAGATTCAACCTTTAATGTCTTTTTTCCCGAAAACTTTTGCTTTTGTTCAACACATCCAACACTCGGATTTCTGCAGACGGATTACGTAACGCCTGAGATGTTTGGGACTAATTCGACTTTCACTCAATGATAACATGTGAAAGTTATATAGGTATATGGAACACTCCTAATAATTAATATTTCGTCCGATCGATTACGTCTTCGAGCTAAGAAAAACATTTTCGTGAGAGGAAAAGGGTCATCGAAAAAAAATTGCAACATACGTGCAATAAAGTGCGAAATGTCAACGACCAGAAAGTGGAAGTTTCCACGATTTGCGTATGCAGTTGACGTGGAGATGTTCGGAAGCGATCTGTGGGTTGATTTATGGGCGGATGGGTGGAAATGGGTGTTGGGTAAGAGGCAGTGGCGCACGGGTGGAGGCGCTTTCAGCATCTAGATCTAGAAGCGATTTTGGAAAATTGTACAGACGTAGAAGTTCTTTGTCGCGTATTCACCTTTACATAAGCACCTATTATTACCCATGGTAAGCGACTGTTTAAAATTCTATCCATTACATGATAGCCACAGGCTGGGTATTAATAGAAATGAGTTTTTGATGCACTTTCCGAATTCCTGAACAGGGGCGTCCCATCCCCCTTACCCATCACCCCTCTTTCAAGAAACCTGTACCCCAAACCCCTCTGACCTTTACCAAATCAAAAATCTTTTCTCGTACTTTACCGAAGAATCTGCAAAGGTTAAATATTTCATTCTGGGTGGGGATTGCAGTGTACCAGTGGAAACCACTAACCCATAAAGATTCGTCCCATATCGAGTGAATGGTTGTGCGACACGGCGCGAGTTCTTAAATAAAGGTACCTCGACTTGGACGTGCAGTCTTAGTCCGTTTTCGTCCGAGGTACTTAGAAAAAAAAATCTCGAATTCAAATCAGCTATGATATTTGCATTTGTTACGTTAGTGCTAGTTACGGCGGCCAGTAAGTATGACTTTCTAATTCTTTTTGGGGGTTTCCTGGTGAAAAACTTGAGGAAACTGAGAAAGAGAAAGCGGTTCGGTAATTCGTGCATTTTGACGGATTTTTGGGTTTTGAGTGCACTGATGATGGATACGGGTTACAAAACTTTCTGCCTTTCACTTTCAGGACTGACACGTTGACCGGTTCGGCGTGGAACGGCTGGGAGTGGAAAGGTTTGCGAAAAGGTGGTTTGGGCTTTGTTAGGGGTTTTGGGTTCTATGGAACGTGCTAATGCTTTTCGGAAAAATTATGATGACGTCATGATTGACCCTGGTGGCTAAATTTTTTTCGGGTTGTGGTCTACATCTTGTTATTACGAAAGTGATTTTTTTACGACTGTTTGTTCTGAATCGTTTCTAGTTTCTTGACACTTCTAAATTTTAAAGTCACACTTTTCCTCACACTTACTTGCTATGATGCTAATTCTTTAACTTTTTTGTTGGAAATAAATAAAACTCATCTTGCGAAAAATTTCCAAAAACATAACGTCGTTTTTGTAAAATTAAAAAAAATGAAAATTTTGAAATGTAAAAAAATTTGAAAATATTTCCAAAGGTCAATACGTTTAGATGAAATCGAGACTTCGCAGCAGTTAAAATAAAAATTCTAATAAAGCAGTACCCATTTCTAATTTCAGCTAACATTCTCTGTTTCCGTAGATATAGATGAATTAAAGCTTATTTCTTCTACATTCACACATATCTTCTAATTTTAAAATTTTGTGTATAAACCTCTTTACACTCTAAACATTTCTGTGATTTTCAAACACTTGAAACTTAAATTACTGATTTTCCGAATGTTGTTTTTGAAACTCCCAAAACTAATTTCTTTAGATATTTTAGTTTTTGAAACGTCTTTCTTAGATTAATGACATTAGTTTCATTCTAGATTTAGCATTAAATTATATCTGTTCTATTTTCTGAAAATCAATCTTTCTTCTCTTCTCCTTTATAGATTCTTATAATATAAATTTTCTGCTACTGAATTTCTAGAAGCTGCTTTGACCTAGATTTAGATCGAAACCTTCTATTTGTTTTTCTGAGTGGAAATGGGTACTTTTGTCATGTTTTTCTACTCTTTTTCTTTAGATTAACATAGATGGAATTATTCTAGACCAAATCTTCATCTGTAAGTTCCAAATATTTTATTTCAATTTCATTCTGACTTGAAAATCTTAAATTATGTGCTCTATATAAAAAAAAAATGCTTTTCAAACTAGACTAATTTTTTTTTATATTTTCAAAGTGTTTTATCTTTATCACTGTTCTGTCAAGATCATCTAGATCTCATATTTTTCGAAAATTCTAGTTTTCTTACTGTTATGCAGTTTCTTCCCATTCTGTTTCTTCTAGATCTAGATCACTGATTTTCCGAATGCTGTTTTTTGCAACTCCCAAACATATTTTTCTTTTTGAAACTCCTTTCTTAGATTAATGAAATTAGTTTCATTCTAGGACTATTATTAAATTTAAATTTTGTTCCATTTTGCTTTCACCCCAACTTACGAAATTATTTCTTATTTATATTTCATCTGTTCTATATCTGTTCTATATTCTAAAAATTTTACTATGTAGATTTCGATAATATACATTTTCTGCTACTGCATTTCTAGCAGCTGATTTGATCTAGATTTCTTTCTCTGATTGGGAGTGGGTATTTTCGACAGCTTTTTTGCTCTTTTTTCAGATTAACATGGGACTTATTCTTGACAAAAACTTCATCTATGACTTATAAATACTTCATTTCAATTTCATTTCGACTTTGCTTTGCTCTCAGTAGAAAAAATTCTATTATATATCTATCCGGCTTTCCTCTTTCCTACAGCTTTTTCTCAATCCAAATTTTCTATTGCTGATCTAAAGACTCCCCTTGCCACTAGATCTAAATTACTAATTTTCGGAATGCTGTTTTTGAAACTCTCAAAACTAATTTCTTTAGATATTTTAGTTCTTGAAACTTCTTTCTTAGATTAATGACATTAGTTTCATTCTAGATCTAGCATTAAATTAAAATTTTGTTACATTTTCCTTTCATTCTAACTTCAGAAATTAAGTTATAAATTTCAAGCTGACAGACACGTCATCTAATCTATATCTGTTCTATTTTCTGAAACTCAATCCTTCTTCTCTTCTCCTTTACAGATTCTTATAATATAATTTTTTTACTACTGAATTTCTAGAAGCTGCTTTGACCTAGATTTAGATTGAAACCTTCTATTTGTTTTTCTGAGTGGAAATGAGTACTTTCGTCATATTTTTTTACTCTTTTTCTTTAGATTAACATAGCTGGACTTATTTTAGACCAAAACTTCATCTGTAAGTTATAAATACTTCATTTCAATTTCATTCTGACTGAAAAAATGCTTTTCAAACTAGACTAAATTTTTTTCATATTTTCAAAGTGTTTTAAGTATTTTTATCACTGTCCTGTTAAGATCATCTAGATCTTATATTTTTCGAAAATTCTAGTTTTCTTACTGTTATGCAGTTTCTTCCCATTCTGTTTCTTCTAGATCTAAATTACTGATTTTCCGAAGGCTGTTTTTGGAACTCCCAAACATATTTTTCTTTTTGAAACTCCTTTCTTAGATGAATGAAATTAGTTTCATTCGAGGACTATTATTAAATTTAAATTTTGTTCCATTTTTCTTTCACCCCAACTTAAGAAATTATTTCTTATTTATATTTCATCTCTTCTATATCTGTTCTATATTCTAAAAATTTTACTGTGAAGATTTCGATAATATACATTTTCTGCTACTGCATTTCTAGAAGCTGATTTGAACTAGATTTAGATCGAAATCTTCTGTTTCTTTCTCTGATTGGGAGTGGGTATTTTCGACAGCTTTTTTGCTCTTTTTTTAGATTAACATGGGACTTATTCTTGACAAAAGCTTCATCTATGACTTATAAATACTTCATTTCAATTTCATTTTGACTTTGCTTTGCTCTCAGTAGAAAAAATTCTATTCTATATCTATCCGGCTTTCCTCTTTCCTACAGCTTTTTCTCAATCTAAATTTTCTATTGCTGATCTAAAGACTCCTCTTCCCACTAGATCTAAATTACTAATTTTCCGAATGCTGTTTTTGAAACTCTCAAAACTAGTTTCTTTAGATATTTTAGTTTTTGAAACCTCTTTCTTAGATTAGTAGAATTAGAGTCATTCTAGATCTATTATTATCTAAATTTAGATCTTGCTTCATGTTTCTTTCATTCTAACTTTTCCATGTTTCTTCTATTCTATATATATTCTATTTTCTGAAACTCATTTTTTTTAGATTATTACAATATAAATTTTCTGCTATTGAAATTGTAGAAGCTGCTATGCACTGTTCTGTCGACATCACCTAGAATTCATATTTTTCGAAAATTATACATTAATTATTATCATGTGATTTCTTTTATTTTTTGTAGAGATAGATTACTAATTTTTCGAGCGTGTTTTCGCAACTTCCAAAATTTCTTTAGATATTTTACTTTTTGGAACGCCTGTTCTTCGATTAATAGAAACAGTTCCATTCTAAATCTAGCACTAAATTTAGATTCTGTTTCATTTTCCTTTCAGTCTAATTTTAGAAATTAAGTTACGAATTTTAAAGCCAAAGAGATTTCAGCTATTCGATACGTATCTGTTCTATTTTCTGAAACTCGATCTTTCTTCGCCTCTATAGATTCTTATAACAAAAATTTTCTGCTACTTAATTTCTAGAAGCTGCTTTTTCTACCCCTTTTTTTAGATTAACATAGCTGAACTTACTCTAAACAAAAACTTTATCTATGATTTCTCAATTTCATTTCATTCTTTTTAAGATCTGAATTCTATATCTATCTATATTTCTTTCCTCTTTTCTACAGATTTTTCTCAATCTAAATTTTCTATTGCTGTCTTAAAGACGCCTCAAACTAGAATGATTTTTTTCATTTTTTTACTTTATACTGTTCTGTCAAGATCATCTAGATCTCATGTTTTTCGAAAAATATAGTTTTCTTTTGTTGTATCGTTTCTTCCCACTTTCTTTCTTCTAGATCTAAATGACTGATTTTCCGAATGTTGTTTTTGAAGCTCCTAAAACTAATTTCTTTAGATATTTTAGTTTTTGAAACTCTTTTCTTAGATTAATGGCATTAGTTTCATTCTAGATCTAGCATTAAATTTAAATTTTGTTCCATTTTCCTTTCATTCTAACTTTAGAAATTAGGTTATGAATTCCAAGCTGAAAGACATTTCTTCTAGTCTATATCTATTCTATTTTCTGAAATTCCATTTTTCTTCTCTTCTGTAGATTATTACAATATAAATTTTCTTCTGCTTTGAACTACAACTAGAGCGAAATCTTGTTCTTTTCTGACTAGTAATGAGTGCTTCTTTTAGACTAACATAGCTGAACTTATTCTAGGCAAAAACTTCATCTAAAAGCTATAAATAATTCATTTTTATGTCATTCTGACTTCGAAGATCTTAAATTATATTGTCTAAGTAGAAAAAAAACCTATTCTATATATTTCTTTCCTCTTTGCTACAGATACTTCTCAATCTAAATTTTCTAATTCTATATTAAAGACTCTTCAAACTAGACTGAACTTTCTTCATTTTTTCCTTTCAATCTAATTTTAAAAATTAAGTCACTAATTTTAAACCCAAACATATTTTCATCTGTTCGATAGGTATCTATAGAAGCTACTTTAAACTAGATCTAGATCGGAATATTCTCTTTCTTTTTTTGCCTGGGAGTGAGTACTCTCGATTGATTTTTTTACTCATTTTTTTTTTCTAGATTAAGATAGCTGCATTTATTCTAGACAAAAACTTCATCTATGTGTTCTAAGTGCTTCATTTACATTTCATTCTGACTTTGAAAATCTTTATTATGTACTTTAAGTATAAAAAATCTATTCTATATACATATATCTTTTTTCCTCTTTTCTATAGATTCTTGTCAATCTAAATTTTATATTTCTGTATTAAAGACTCTTCAAACTAGACTGACATTTCTTAATTTTTTTCAAGTGTTTTATGTTACTTTACGCTTTTCTGGCAAGATCATCTAGAAGTTATCTTTTTCGAAAGTTCTATATTTATTATTATCATGGGATTTCATCCCATTTTATTTTTTCTAGAATTAAATTATGTATTTTAAACCTAAAGACATTTCGTCTATTTGATCGGTATTTGTTCCACTTTCTGAAACTCGATTTTCCCTCTTCTATAAATTCTTATAACAAGAATTTATAGAAGCTGCTTTAAACTAGATCTAGATCGAAATATCTCTCTTTCTGCTTGGGAGTTAGTACTTTCGGTAGATTTGTTTACCCAATTTATTCTTAGATTAACATCGTTGGACTTATTCTAGACAAAAACTTCATCTATGTATGTGTTCTAAATATTTTATTTATATTTCAGTCTGACATTGAAGATCTTTATTATGTGCTATAAGTGTAAAAAAACTACTCTATATCTATCTTTCTCCTCTTGGTTATAGATTCTTCTCAATCTATTTAATTCTAAAATTTTCAATTTTTGTATTAAAGACTCTTCAAACTAGACTGAAATTTCTTCATTTGTTTCAAGTGTGGTGTTTTGTCAAGATCCTCTAGATCTTTATTCGAAAATTCTACATTTTTTATTATTATTGTGTGGTTTCTTCCCATTTTGTTTCTTCTAGATATAGATTATTGATTTTTGAAATGTAGTGTCTGAAGTTTCCAAAATTCCTTTAGATATTTTATCTTTAAAAATTATTGTTAAATTAATAGAATTAGTTTCATTCAAGATGCAGCACTAGAATTAAATGTTTTATTTTCTAGATCTAGATCAAGTTCTGCAGAATTTGTTTTGCCGTGTGTGAATGGATGTTTTGTATATTTTTACGAGTACATTAAATATTCTGAATCTTATGCTAACATAATTGTTCTCTAATTCTGTTTCTAGAAACTCCTCACATGTCTTATTTTTCGAAACTTTTCGAATATTTTACAAATGAATGTTTTCTTTTTTGTTTCTATTCTAATTTTGGAAATTTTTGACTTGCCCTTTGCCCATTCTATGAAAAGTCAATTTTGTGGTTAAAAAGAATCTCTTCTGGTTTCACAAACCCGACATAAATAATATCCGAAATTTTCACCCGTTCGAATCAATGCCATTATTTTACCTCAAATGGAAAGTAACTGAAAGTTGTCCCAAACAACCTTCAAACCGCAATAAATTAATCCGTTTGAAATATTTCTGCACATTTCTTCTGGTTGGCATTGACAAATACCCACCATGGTCAAAGAACTCAAAAAATTCCCTTGTTTTAATCCAGTCTGCATTATTCCCCAGACGCCCAGTTCAAATGCCCCCCTAAAGACGGCCAGTACGAGGATTCCAGACAATGCGACAAATTCTACCAATGTGACGACGGGATCGCCGTGGAAAAACTCTGCCCAGATGGGCTGGTTTTCGACCCATTGATCCGCAAAATTAACAAGTGCGATCAACCGTTCAACGTGGACTGCGGAGACAGGACGGATCTGCGTAAGTCGCATTAACTTTATTATTGTTGTGTTTATTGAGTTTTTTCTTGTCTAGAACCTCCAAAACCCAACAACTACTGCCCACGAAGAAACGGATTCTTCGCCCACCCGGACCCAGCGGTCTGCAACAAGTTCTACAACTGCATTGAAGGTGAACATACGGAAATCACGTGCACTGCGGGGCTCCATTTCGACGAATTCACCGGAACTTGCGTCTGGCCGGATGCGGCAGGAAGGCAAGGATGCAACAAGGATGTCACAAGTAGGCGATTTTTGACGTTATTGAGTGAAAATTTTTCAAACATTTTATTTCAGACAAACTCAAGGACGGTTTTGAGTGTCCCAAAGAGGGCCAGACTGACGCCAATGGTCAGCTCGTCGTGCACCCAAAATACGCCCATCCCACCGACTGCCAGAGGTTCTACGTGTGTCTGAATGGGCAGGAGCCCAGAGATCTGGGTTGTCAAGTTGGAGAGGTCTACAATGAGGAGAGCCAGCGGTGCGATGCCCCCGAAAATGTACCTGGATGGTGGGTTCACAAACAATTTTTTGTTGTGTTTTTTATTTATTTTTGTTTTGTTTTGTTTTTCTAGCGAGGACTGGTACAAGGATGAACCCACAGCCGCCAAGCCAAGCAAAAAGGTCAAGCGAAGTGCCTAAGAATGGTTCTTTTTTTACTGTATCTAGTGTGTAAATTATTTTGTATTGGTATGTTTGTTTTGGAGTTTTTGTTGTGTGGTCACTATGTATATCGACAAATTGGAATTTGATGTATACGTGGTGGCAAATAAAGACAAAAATGGTGTGATTTTTATTCACATATTACTAAGTTTTTTTTATTTATGACTAAAACTAGTTTCTTCACGAGAAGCAAAAATTCGTCAAAATTTTCTAAATATTTTCTGTAATAATTTCGGAAGGTATTATGATTATGATTATTATTATTATTACTACTATTGTAATCTTCTGGTCTTTGTTTTTAAATTTCTTTGAGATAATTAGCAGTGTTGACTTTCCAATAAACCCAAAAAGGAAACACCAAAATGGTCACAGGAACAAAATATTTTGAAAAATTTAGCACCGACTTTCTCTCCAAAAATTCGTCAAAATTTTCAATTTTCACAAAAAGATGTGATTTTTCATCACATATAAAATTGTTTTCTTTTTATTTTCAACGAAAACCAGTTTCTTTGTGGTGTTTTTTAAGTCAATTGGAAAAAAAAACGTCAAAATTTTCAAAATATTTTCTGTAACAATTTCGAAGATGGTTTTTTTTGGTTTCGAAAATTTTCTGAGAAAATTAACAATTGTTAGGTTTCCAACAAAGTCAAAATGAAAATGCGAAAATGAGAACAGGAACAAAAGTTAAAATTTTCTCTTTTCAAAAATTTCTCAAATTTTGATGAAAAAGTTTTCCGCAAGTCAAGATTTGCAAAATTTGAAAAATCAGACAAAAGCAAGAATGAAATTATCATAAAAGCTCAAAATCCAAAAAAATTTAGCACCGACTTTCTCTCCAAAAATTCGTCAAAATTTTCAATTTTCACAAAAAGATGTGATTTTTGTATCACATATAAAATTGTTTTCTTTTTATTTTCAACGAAAACCAGTTTCTTTGTGGCGTTTTTTAAGTCAATTTAGGGAAAAAAAATCGTCAAAATTTTCTAATATTTTCTGTAACAATTTCGAAGATGGTTTATTATTTTCATTATAGTAATCTTCGATTTTTGGTTTCAAAAATTTTCTGAGAAAATTAACAATTGTTAGGTTTCCAACAAAGTCAAAATGAAAATACGAAAATGACAACAGGAACAAAAGTTAAAATTTTCTCTTTTCAAACATTTCTCAGGTTTTGATGAAAAACTTTTCCGCAAGTCAAGATTTGCAAAATTTGGAATAAATCAGACAAAAGCAAGCCTGAAATGATCATAAAAGCTCAAAATCCAAAAAAATTTAGCACCGACTTTCTCTCCAAAAATTCGTCAAAATTTTCAATTTTCACAAAAAGATGTGATTTTTTTATCACACATAAAATTGTTTTCTTTTTATTTTCAACCAAAACCAGTTTCTTTGTGGTGTTTTTTAAGTCAATTTAGGGACAAAAACACGGCAAAATTTTCAAAATATTTTCTGTAACAATTTCGAAGATGTTTTTTTTGGTTTCGAAAATTTTCTGAGAAAATTAACAATTGTTAGGTTTCCAACAAAGTCAAAATGAAAATGCGAAAATGGGAACAGGAACAAAAGTTAAAATTTTCTGTTTTCAAAAATTTCTCAGATTTTGATGAAAAAGTTTTCTGAAAGTCAAGATTTGCAGAATTTGGAAAAATCAGACAAAAGCAAGCCTGAAATTATCATAAAAGTTCAAAATCCAAAAAAATTTAGCACCAACTTTCTCTCCAAAAATTCGTCAAAATTTTCAGTTTTCACAAAAAGATGTAATATTTTTATCACATATAAAATTGTTTTCTTTTTGTTTTCAACGAAAACCAGTTTCTTTGTGGTGTTTTTTAAGTCAATTTAGGGAAAAAAAATCGTCAAAATTTTCAAAATATTTTCTGTAACAATTTCGAAGATGGTTTTTATTGGTTTCGAAAGTTTTCTGAAAAAATTAACAATTGTTAGGTTTCCAACAAAGTCAAAATGAAAATACGAAAATGACAACAGGAACAAAAGTTAAAATTTTCTCTTCTCAAAAATTTCTCAGGTTTTGATGAAAAAGTTTTCCGCAAGTCAAGATTTGTAAAATTTGGAAAAATCAGACAAAAGCAAGCCTGAAATTATCATAAATGGTCAAAATCCAAAAATGTTAGCACTAATTTACTTTTCAAAAATGCGTCAAAATTTACAATTTTTTACAAAAAGATGTGATTTATTTCTTTTTATCATATATAAAATTGTTTTTTTTTTATCTTCGACAAAAATCAGTTTATTTACGATGTACTTTTAAGTCAATCGAGGAAGAAAATTCATCAAAATTTTCGAAATATTTTCTGTGCTAAATAATTTCGCAGTTGGTTTATTATTGTCATTATTGTAATTTTCTATACTTGGTTTTCAAAATTTTCACAGTTGTTAGATTTCCAACAAAGTCAAAATGAAAATACCAAAATGACAACAGGAACAACTCTTAAAATTTTCTCATTTTGAAAATTTCTCAGATTTTGACGAAAAAGTTTTCTGCAGGTCAAGATTTACAAAATTTGGAAAAATCGGACAAAAGCAAGCCTGAAATTATCATAAAAGCTCAAAATTAAAAGAAAAATTAGCACCAACTTACTTTCCAAAAATTCGTCAAAATTTTCACATTTTCACAAAACGATGTGATTTTTTTATCACATATAAAATTGTTTTCTTTTTATTTTCAACGAAAACCAGTTTCTTTGTGGTGTTTTTTAAGTCAATTTGGGGAAAAAAAATCGTCAAAATTTTCTAATATTTTCTGTAATAATTTCGAAGATGGTTTTTTTTGGTTTCGAAAATTTTCTGAAAAAATCAACAATTGTTAGCTTACCAACAAAGTCAAAATGAAAATGCGAAAATGAGAACAGGAACAAAAGTTAAAATTTTCTCTTTTCAAAAATTTCTCAGGTTTTGATGAAAAGTTTTCTGAAAGTCAAGATTTGCAAAATTTGAAAAATCAGACAAAAGCAAGCCTGAAATTATCAAAAAAGCTTAAAATCCAAAAAAATTTAGCACCGACTTTCTCTCCAAAAATTCGTCAAAATTTTCAATTTTCACAAAAAGATGTTGTGATTTTTTATTCACATATAAAATTGTTTTCTTTTTATTTTCAACGAAAACCAGTTTCTTTGTGGTGTTTTTAAGTCACTTTAGGGAAAAAAGAATCGTCAAAATTTTCAAAATATTTTCTGTAACAATTTCGAAGATGGTTTTTTTGGTTTCGAAAATTTTCTGAAAAAATTAACAATTGTTAGGTTTCCAACAAAGTCAAAATGAAAATGCGAAAATGAGAACAGGAACAAACGTTAAAATTTTCTCTTTTCAAAAATTTCTCAGATTTTGATGAAAAAGTTTTCCGCAAGTCAAGATTTGCTAAATTTGGAAAAATCAGACAAAAGCAAGCCTGAAATTATCATAAAAGCTCAAAATCCAAAAAAATTTAGCACCGACTTTCTCTCCAAAAATTCGTCAAAATTTTCAATTTTCACAAAAAGATGTTGTGATTTTTTTATCACATATAAAATTGTTTTCTTTTTATTTTCAACGAAAACCAGTTTCTTTGTGGAGTTTTTTAAGTCAATTTAAGGAAAAAAAATCGTCAAAATTTTCAAAATATTTTCTGTAACAATTTCGAAGATGGTTTTTCTTGGTTTCGAAAATTTTCTGAGAAAATTAACAATTGTTAGGTTTCCAACAAAGTCAACATGAAAATACCAAAATGACAACAGGAACAAAAGTTAAAATTTTCTCTTTTCAAAAATTTCTCAGGTTTTGATGAAAAAGTTTTCCGAAAGTCAAGATTTGCAAAATTTGAAAAATCAGACAAAAGCATGCCTGAAATTATCAAAAAAGCTCAAAATGAAAAAAAATTAGCACCGACTTTCTCTCCAAAAATTCGTCAAAATTTTCAATTTTCACAAAAAGATGTGATTTTTTTATCACATATAAAATTGTTTTCTTTTTATTTTCAACGAAAATCAGTTTCTTTGTGGTGTTTTTTAAGTCAATTTGGGGAAAAAAAATCGTCAAAATTTGCTAATATTTTCTGTAACAATTTCGAAGATGGTTTTTTTTGGTTTCGAAAATTTTTTGAAAAAATGAACAATTGTTAGCTTTCCAACAAAGTCAAAATGAAAATACCAAAATGACAACAGGAGCAAATGTTAAAATTTTCTCTTTTCAAAAATTTCTCAGATTTTGATGAAAAAGTTTTCTGCGAGTCAAGATTTGCAAAATTTGGAAAAATCAGACAAAAGCAAGCCTGAAATTATCATAAAAGCTCAAAATTCAAAAAAATTTAGCACCGATTTTCTCTCCAAAAATTCGTCAAAATTTTCAATTTTCACAAAAAGATGTTGTGACTTTTTTATCAGATATAAAATTGTTTTCTTTTTATTTTCAACGAAAACCAGTTTCTTTGTGGTGGTTTTTAAGTCAATTTAGGGGAAAAAAAATCGTCAAAATTTTCAAAAAAGTTTTCCGCAAGTCAAGTTTGCAAAATTTGAATAATCAGACAAAGGCAAGCATGAAATTATCAAAAAATCTCAAAATCCAAAAAAATTTAGCACCGACTTTCTCTCCAAAAATTCGTCAAAATTTTCAATTTTCACAAAAAGAAGTTGTGATTTTTTTATCAAATATAAAATTGTTTCCTTTTTATTTTCAACGAAAACCAGTTTCCTTGTGGTGTTTTTTAAGTCAATTTGGGAAAAAAAAAATCGTCAAAATTTTCTAATATTTTCTGTAACAATTTCGAAGATGGTTTTTTCTGGTTTCGAAAATTTTTTGAAAAAATTAACAATTGTTAGCTTTCCAACAAAGTCAAAATGAAAATACCAAAATGACAACAGGAGCAAATGTTAAAATTTTCCCTTTTCAAAAATTTCTCAGATTTTGATGAAAAAGTTTTCTGCAAGTCAAGATTTGCAAAATTTGGAAAAATCAGACAAAAGCAAGCCTGAAATTATCATAAAAGCTCAAAATCCAAAAAAATTTAGCACCGACTTTCTCTCCAAAAATTCGTCAAAATTTTCAATTTTCACAAAAAGATGTGATTTTTTATCACATATAAAATTGTTTTCTTTTTATTTTCAACGAAAACCAGTTTCTTTGTGGTGTTTTTTAAGTCAATTGGAAACAAA